ATGAAAAGTTAAATCGTTGAAAAAAATCATATTTATTCACGACCGGGATTCGAACCCGAGCATAAAAATCCAGCTTGGAGTAAGTTACACTGAACCACAAGGGTTATGTCATTTTTGGCCCTACTCAATTACACTTAAGTTTAAATAGGTTCTCATTTTACCCGCTAATTCATTTTGAGGACGAAAATATGACTTCACATTTACCCAATAGGGATGCTTTGATTGAAATTGTCAAAGGAAAAGTTACCTTGGATCAATTCATCTTCCAAAATTTGCATCATATTGTACCCACGTGCCAAGTCTGTTCCATTATTCCTTAAACCGATAGCCCCAACTGCGACAGACATCGACACTTGTGCCGCAGAAAAGAACGAGATTAAGCTGAGAAGGGAAACTTGTGGGGTGGAGGAATCATCCGACCGTGTGAACTGTTGCACTAGGACGGTGACATAGCAAATTGCCACAATTCCCATGCCAAAAATATCTTCACCGCGATACCACCTCGTTTCACCGGGATCTTCACACGGGATGAATTCTTGCCGAGGTATGTCCCACATCATGGGCATTTTTGTGTATCGCTGGAATACTGCAGAGTAGAGGTCCATACCAAGAAATCGGGTAGTCAACATATCTGGGAATGGCTTTAGGTACGTTTGGATTTTTTTGGGGATTTTAGGAAATTTATCTTTCGAAAGAGTGGGAATCATTTCTAGAGAACAGTTAACCTTTTAAAGGATTATTGAATTAAATTTCGAAAATAAGTGGAATTCAAGTTCAAGAAATTCCAAGCAACGTTTGATATGATTTTGTTGGAGACAACGAGGACAATGCTGATTTTCTTTACGAATTGGTACAAATTTTGCGAAAGAAAACTGCTCACCAGTAAAGTTTTAAGTTAACTTGTATACTCATCAAGCAATTGTGATGTTTGATTATAGATCTGTAATAAGGGGGTGGAGAGAGATTTGAAGCATGTAGTTGCAGAAAGTAAATATGTATAGAAGAGGCAAATTGATATTCGACATGATTGAGCAATTTGCTTGTATGAATTTATTTTCATGCTGTGTGTTTAAGCATAATCGCTGCGGATGTAACCTTCACATTTATTCTACTCACATTACTCTTATTATTGAGGTGGTGTTTTGCAGAAAGTTGAACATACATTGTTTAGCTATTTTTGCAATTGAAAGTTAAGCCGTACGTATTATTTTTTCGTTTGACCATACAATTTGCCGCACGGGTAGATTACCACTACATGGCAAAAACTAGACATGCCAATTTACTGGTACTTACGATATTAGATATATGTATGAATGATTTGGAGATCCCATTTGTTGCAACACGTGGTTTTCTACTTATTCGGCGTACAACTGCATAGTCCAAATTTCAAATTAATCGTGCAATTGTACCTGTATTTTCTAATAATATGTGTAAAATAAAGTTTTGCGAAAAGTAGGATCCTCCAACAACAAGTGCATGTGCATATCGTCGTACTAATTCATAAAAGACCTAAGTGCAGTAGACAGTTAATTAAGAAAAGACCTATCTACTTACGGGACAGTGAATATTTTTAACACGGAAAGGATGCAAAGAATTAGTACGACGATATGTACATACATTCGTGTATTTATATTTATGTACGAACATACATACCTATGCAAAGTTTGACAACGAAATATTAAAACTTCAAAGGCAATTTGTTACAAATAAGCCTTTAATTTCTTATGCAAATATGAACATAAATAGATTGTGTAAACGGTTCCCATATTTGACCAATGACAAGGCAAAGCTTGCAATATGTATGTAGGAAAGGAAATGATTAATTGTCGTACAGGCTAAATTTATGTCCGGCTTTTCATGACAATACCATTTTTAGCCCGAGCCAGGGCTTATGTACCCGTTATGTCTGTCTGTCTGTCCGTCCGTCCGTCTGTCTTCGCGATAACTCTCTTCAAACTCAACCGATCGACTTGAAATTTTTACCACATCTATATCTACCCAAAAGACAAATCAAGTTCGAAGATGAGCCGAATCGGTCAAGTGGTTGGCCGGTGGGGGCCATATGGGTGGTGGGGTTATTATGCATCAAATTTTCAAAATTGTTGTAGAAAGCTGAAATTTGGTACATATGTAACTAATGGCTTCTAATGAAAAGATATGAAGTGAATTTGCGAAAATTTTTATCTGGAGGGACCCTATGGGGTCACTCAAACTGATTTTTCAAAATCGTCCAATTAAGCTGAAATTTGGTATGGAAGTCGATAGCAGCTTATAATGGGAGTTTATGATGTACAATTTTGAAAATTTTGACCCAGAGGAACCCGGTGGGGTGACCCATACTGATTTTGCAAAATCACTCAATTAAGCTGAATTTTGGCGTAAAGATTGGTAAACAAATTCTAGTTGTACCCACCCTGGCTCGGGCTAAGCAAAGCTGCACTGTAGGTTTTATAAGTATAAGCCACTATTAATTTATATGTATGTACATATGTACTTGCCAATAAATTTGTAAACGTGTACATAAATGCATAATTGAATAAATTAAGTAATCCTTAATTTAAATTAGGTCCGATGCAAAGATCTACGTGATTCCCTAACGAAGCACATTAAACCAATTGTTTGTATATGTATGCACAATGCAATATGCTATGTACATATGTAACCCTTGTTTGTATTATTGTATTATACGTTTGTTGCATGCCAAAATGAATTGCTTGTTTACGAAGCCGGATTTGAAATCGAAAGTTTGATTGTCTTACGTAATTTGCGCATTGTACATACATAAGCAAAAATTATTGCTTAATTTGATAAGTGTGTTATGTCCTTTGTTTTGCTATAATGTGTAACAAAATCTCGCAGTCAATAATGATTTATTTTACAGAGATAAAAATTTGATTGATTAAATATTTTAATATTTTAATTTCAAATAAAGTAAAATTACTGCGACACGAAATTTTTCTGTTTTTGTTGTTGCTTTGTATGAAATTGTATGAAAAAAGTGAAACGTACAAGAACTCTAACCATAAATAAACCAAAATTGCCAGTTATGGGTTTGCACTCGTTTTTATTTTATCACATTTTTCACCCGTTTTAATGTCAAATATTAATTAATAAAACTCCACCGTAAAATTTAATCTATTATTATTTCCCTTTACCGCCTGATTTCCCTTTGCCGCCTGATTTGTCTTTACCAGCTGATTTGCCTTTTTTGCCGTCTGAACCTTTACCATCTGGTACCTGAAAAAGGGAGCAAATATTCTTTGTACGGCCTTTTTTAACATTACCAATTGTACATGGATACGGATTGTCTCAATTTGCACCTACCTCGGGTAAAGGACCGATTCCATACCAGTCGGATGGTTCGCATTTGTACTTGAGATTACACCATCCACTACAGCAATCCCAACTACTTCCGCACGGTTTGCCATCTTTGGCGCAAACCTGTGCATAAAATAAATGATTTAAAGTAACATGTCGCATATTATGAGGGTGATCTGTGTAATATTTGTAAATTTAAATTATTGCGGGAACATATTTTAAGGTCGAGGGCAAAAGATATTGTCAAAATCTGTCATAAAACATAGAACCAATTTGTTCTCAAAGTCTCAAAAAAGTAATCACATTTGACCCCGCAGGCCCATTTATATATGCCGGTCCTTGATGGACATAATTAAATTGCCGCAGTTGTCATAAGAATAACCCCGGTCCTGATTCTACTATTGGTGTTTACCTTCTAGTGTCAAATATGTTGGTTTAATTATTAAAAGAAGCGTATTTTTTATCAAGCTACCTTGGGTTTAGGTTTCATGGCTGGGAATCCACTGCCATTATCCCATCCTGTTCCGTTGGCTGGCTTGCCTTCAGGAGGAGGATTCTCCGGAATCCAACCTCCTGGTGGATTCTCAGGAGTCCAACCAGCTGGTGGACCATCTACATCTGGTGGAGGTTCTTCTGGATTTTCGCCATCTGGAAGAGGAAATATGCCAGTATCTGGCGGCATGGTACCTGGATTTTCCCCATCTGGAAGAGGAAATATGCCAGTATCTGGCGGCATGGTGCCTGGACTTTCCCCATCTGGTGGAGGTTCTTCTGGATTTTCCTCATCTGGCGGCGGGGTTTCTGGGTTTTCGCCATCTGGAAGAGGAAATATGCCAGTATCTGGCGGCATGGTACCTGGATTTTCCCCATCTGGAAGAGGAAATATGCCAGTATCTGGCGGCATGGTGCCTGGATTTTCCCCATCTGGTGGAGGTTCTTCTGGGTTTTCACCATCTGGAAGAGGAAATATGCCAGTATCAGGCGGCATGGTACCTGGATTTTCACCATCTGGCGGCGGGGTTTCAGGTTCCTCCCCATCAGGAGGTGGTGGTTTGTACGGTTTGTGTTGTTTGCCCTTTTTGCCAGGAGGAATAGGTATCCCTGCTTTCAGCTCTTCACTAGTTGGAGGTGGATTTTCGGGTATCCATCCAATCGGTTTTTCCTTCTTGTCATAAATCCCCGCTATCGGTTCCTCACCATCGTCGACCGCATTTTCTTCGTCATCCTGCCCCAATGTGGGTTCACCTATGGAATGATATCGATTTTTTTCAAAAGTAAGTCTCAAATTTCATTTTTCAAAAACACATATCTCTAAGGTTTACAAAATTTCACTTTACCCCATAACAAGACAATGCCAAGAATCCCGACAAAAATGAAAATTCTCATTTTTTATAGAAATTTATAGTTCAAACGGGAACAAAAAATCTGCTGTTTGCAGAACAATGTGAGAATTTGGAATAATAATTGCTTATAATATTTCGGATAAAGAAACATTTGTAAATTTAGAAATTGGTAGGTTATGAAATCGAAAGTTGTATTGTTAATTATCGACTGTGCTCATGTTTTGGTAAAACAATGGGAATTTTTATGCTTTCATTTTTCATTGTTTTGTTCAATCCATCAGTTTAAAGCTCATAAGAATTATGCAAGATGTGCAAAATAAATACATATGTTGGTGCAAATTTTTTTGCAAAAATCTGGCATGATTTATTTAATGTAAAAAACGATATAATTTTAATTTTAATTTTCCGACTCTGCGTCGGCATCCTCGTCTATGTCGTCGGTCGTGGTGGCATCGGCGTCATCATCGGATCCTGTTGTTGTTGGGGGTGCCGTTCTTGGGAGAAGAGTGGGGGCTGGTCGTTGTTCTTGTGGGGGTGACGTAATCACGATTGGGTTGACGTACTGAATTTGCTGAGGTTGTACAGGGACGACTTGAATTGGTTGAGTTTGATAAAGTTGCGAATTTTGGTTAGGTTGCAAATTTTGCACTTGGGAACTTTGAAGTTGGGGATTTGGTTGGAATCTTTGCGTATTTTGGATTGGCTGGGCTGCCACGCTGTTCCCGATCATGACAGGAATTCCTTGTTGTTGCTGTTGTGGACGGATGACGGCATTGATAGCGCTCACGGGAATGTCGGCGATTCCTTTGAAAATTGACGCCAGGATGACCGCGACGCCGTCCAGGGTTTGTTGAGTACCTTCGCCAACACCAGCAGCAGATTCGACGCTACTATCTTGTCTGGGTTGCTACATACAAAAAGATTGCCATGATTTTTTAACGCAAGGATAAGAAAATTTGCAAATTATGTGTGTAAATGTTACCTTGTTTTGAATTAGATTATTCGGTGGAGCTGCTTGTAAGTGGTTACATAATGTGATCTATGTACATATGTAAAGCAGTTACGGGTTTAAAATTCAGAAGGATCTATGTATGAATTAAATATATATTAATTTTTTTGAAAATCATACCAGAACGAGAAGAATTGACGGAACTTCTGAATTATATGGAATTTTGAGAAGCATTTTTGCAATGAGAAATCTGATAAAGAACAAATACACGTAATTTTATGGCTATGTTTTGGAGAGGAAAAGGCAGCAGAAGTGGTTTCAGAGGAGAAATTATTTGTATTGAAGAGACCAATTCATTACAAAGGGTAATGCAGTGTTATTCAGGTTAATTGGAAAATTATAAGGAGATTAATGTCTGTTGTATTAAAGTTTGTGCATAAATTAATCACAGGGTTCCGCATCTATATTGTCAGAATTTTTGTAGAGGATTTTTATGCCCTAAAATTTATGATTCGCTACAAATCCAACTAATTGTAAAAAAAATAATTGCAAGTTTTTACAAATAAATTACATCTTTGCAAAAATTAAAAAATATACACTTGCGACTTTTAACCAAACACATTTTCATGGAAGTAAATACATCGCAAGGTTACGGACGATCGGTGACATTATAGTTTGCTTCCCTTATTTTGTTATGCATCTCCTTTTTCCCAGTGGATATATATGTACATATGCACCATTTTAGTAATTGCTACAAAATATGTATTAAACCCTGCCAAATCAAGGGAAGAATTATAGTCTGTCTCAAAATGAAGAGATAGTTTTGGAAAATTCTACTATTTCTTAATAGCTTGGTCCTGGGGCCCAAAGTTTTATTATAATATAGCTCAGGTATTGCTACAAGTTCATGCCAAGTTTCATTGAGATTTGACTTAAATCAAGAAATTTATATGCAATCTTACAAAATTAGTCAAAATCGACTGTCTCAAAAGTAAGAGATATGAAATTTAAACATTTTATAAGTTAATTTTAAGGGAGTCAGTACCCTTGAAACTTATTCTAGTATTTGGTAAAACCTTTCTTAGCTAGAATTAACGCGAATATTCGTCGCTTCATTGAGTTATTGAAGTGCTGAAGGGTCTCCAGCAGGATATTTGCCCATCCGCCATGCATCATTTGCTCAAATCCCTTTTTGGTTCGAAATTGACGCCCACCCGACGCGAGAAGTTGGCCCAAAAATTCTTCATGGGATTTAGGTCAGGACTGCTAGCCGGCTAAGCCAAGTTCCCGGCATTTTTCCTGGCAAAGAAGTCCATGATTAAACGGGAAGTATGAATTTGGGCGTTGTGATTCTGAATATCCCACCTTATCCGCAAAATTCTGGGTCCCTAGCTGACCAGATTTGACTGGCGTTATCCCTGATAACCTTGTCAATCTGTTCTGGGTGTACTCGTGCTATTCCGGTCTTTCCACGATATCCAAAACCTCCCACAATATTACCAAATTTTCCCTTAAAAATTACAAATTCAATTTAAATTTGTGGTTCATATTTTTGGACAAATATTTTTATGCAGAATATTTTTTTAGTCCCATGCATAACCTACATTGCAGTGGCAGTGCTTCCGTTAAGTATCCAATGGCTTTAGTCCTGTAGTTGAATTCGTGCGTATTCTTCCGTACCGCGTGCATCGTGCCTTTCAAAGCTACATAACCTAACCCAACGAAACCTGCTGTGGAAAAATCTTTATCGAGGTCGATTGCTTTCTTGTAACAGGTTTTAGCATCTTCTAAAAAATTTTTCCATTTTGAATCCCTCCCAAGAAAGTCGTTTCCTAGCATAATGTAGTAAAACGGGCTACGAATCAAACTTCCGACCTCGTATTGCTTTTTAATTCGCCGTTCCAACAAGTAGTAACTAGCTAATGCTATTTCACTTGAAATTATTCCGTGGTCGATTTGGCACACGAAAAAGGACCATCTTTCTTCTAAGGCTTGAATTATGACGCTTTCACTAATTGTGGGACTATAATTCCAAATATTCTTTGCTGTGGTTACGTAACCTGGACGATATGTGGTTTTCAACTTGGCGCGAAAATCATGTAATAATTTGCAAAAGTGAGAAAAGCATTCATCCTTCGCTAAAACGATTGGTAACTCAGTTTGAAGATATTCATCTAAATGCGTTTCTTGCTCTAAATCTCTTAATTTCCTTAACTCAATTCCGGTAGTAAGCCCACTTCGACAAATTAACTGTCCTGAACCCAATTGCCCTTGTCGGCTTGTTCGACCGAAAGCTTGCTCCTCGACGCGAACGTTATTCGGCACAAATGTGAGGCAAACATGTAAACCGCCAAATTTTTCTACGTCATGCGCATTAATATCGGTCCCTCGCCCGGCAAGATTTGTGGCAATGAAGATTTCTCCCGGATAAATTTTGGCAATTGTGGTTTCTTGATTGGAATTATTTTGTGTGTACAATTTAACAACGAATGACATATTTGTTGCCTTAATTCCGTCATATATTAGCATCGCGTCGCCTATGGTTTCACAAATTATGAGGACTCCCCTCCTACCATGGTGGGCATGATGTAGCGCAGACGCAGTAATTTCGTGCAGCCACTGCCTTTCTGTCGGAACCAGGATGTCTGGATACTGGACGTATAAGTGGTGATAGGCTGACGGCATTTTGATTGGGGTAATGTTATACAGATTTTGGATAACATTCTGCGCATGTGTGGATCCTATCGTGCCAGTAAAGCCGATAATGTTGTGTTCAACAAAGGTAAAATTATCTTTCACACTTGAAGATTCTGACCTCTCCGCGGGAAATATGGTTCTTCTATATTTTCGAAATAGTGATATGTTTGAGAGAAAATTTGTCGTCACCGTTTCCGATGTAAGTTTCAGGTTATGCTTGATCTGAAGAAATTGATGAAGTCCGTCACTCCATGCGGTAGAATTATTTATGATTCCAGTCGTATTGTAATCGACTGGTTTGATCTCGCCGTTATCTACGACATAGTGTTTGTTTTCAGAATAGTTAAATGCCGTTATGCAATTATCGACCCATTTCGGAATTTGATTCTGCACAAAGACTGTCATGCACTTGGGGATTTTTATCTTGTCTTCAGCTCTGACCTCAAATCCGGGTGGAGGTAGTTCATCTGTGATAAGTGCTTTCAGAAAATTGGTGAGATGCCCCTTTACAAACTTTTCTATGTCATCAACAATAATAATTCCTGCTTCAGACAATGATCTACCTGATTTAATGTATCCCAACAAGTCTGGAATTTCTAACAATTCTCCACTCGACTTATCCGCAAGTTGCAACGAGATTAGCCCACTATCTAATCTGGTAAGTTTCCCTTCCACATACAACATGAATGATTCAAAAGCTAAAAACCTCTTTTCAAGTGTCGCCAATCGATGGTATGTTAAATGATACAAAATTTGAAGACAGTCCATGCCAGGGATTGGTGACGAGAGTCTAGCTATCTTATTAAGATCGTCAATCAATAAGCTGTCCGCTTCATCAATTAAGGCGAACTGATGCTTTCTTCCAGCCAAAGTACCTAAACCGCTGTAATGATCGCGGAGAAAGTCGAATTGGAATTGAGACGTTTCTCCATAAACGATATGCGACTTGTAACAATGTTTTGGACCCTTAAGATAAATTCCGGAATCCACATTATGAGAACAGGAGAGGTTAAACATAGCATAAAATGGTGACCACGAGATGGCGTCTCTCTCTGCTAGGATTGGATTGCTGGTGAATATGTCAACCTTCAAGCCACGTAAAGCGTTTATTGCGGCAAGGATCGCAATTATGGTCGATTTGCCTGAGCCTGTAGCGACCTGTTGGATCTGACCTTGTAAACCTTTCACCAATCCGGTATAAATTGAAACAATTTGGACCGCAGTTAATTGGAAATTACTGTGCAAATAGAAGGCTCTGTACGCCACGGAAAGTGCTTCGATCGCAAATTCTTTATCCAGTTCTAACATTACCATTCGAAAACGCATGTTTACCATTTTCGCCCATTTCTTAACGTCAGAGATTGTCCACTCGCCAATAACTTTTTCCAACCCTGCATAACAATATCTCGATTTGTAAATTCCCATTTTAACGCAATTCTCAAATGTAGCGGCAAGCTGGGACTTGTCCACATTTTTAAGTTCGAGGTGCTCCAGGATTTCAGACATTTGTTTTCTTCCCTTTCCCAGAAAGCCGGAAGATGTCGACAAGGTTAGTTGCCGAGCTTCCTGAATCCAAAACTTTTCCTCAGTTTGCCCCAACTTTTTCAAAACTTCAAAAATCGTCTCTTCGCCAGCCCAACTTTCTGCCATTACACGCACAACCTGTCCCCAAGATTTTCTACAATTACGATCTATCGATATCTTTCCAAATTGCAATATGTCGACTACAGCTTGAAACGAAATTCCTCCACTATGAATCAAACCAATGTTTCTTTTCAAAATTGCCGCATCTCGAGCATTACCGCCATGTAAACAGTAAGTTTTTATGAGACGTTGTAAAATGTATTGTTCCACCTGTAATTTTAAGTCGGAAATGTTAACACAAGCATTGAAATCTACTTGATCTTCCATGTCGGCTAAATGGTTTTTGCAAAGTTTCAGAACGTCGTAAAGCTTTGAAACATCATCTATCTTTTTAACCGATCTGACCAATTTTACCGCTAAGGGGAAAGGTAGGTTTTTCGAAATAAAGTCATTTAAATTATCCCCGGCTTTACTAAAATTTTCCTGAAGTTTCCCGCTAATTAAACGTTTCAAAGAAAGCTTGTACAGCGTTGTTACCCAAGTGCTAGATCTAAGATGAAGAAATTCTTCTACTTCTTCATACCTTAGTGAAAGTATAATGTCTATTGCACCAGGTAAATCATCCGGACAAGTCTTGAAGCTAAAACATGTAGTTAGTAGATCGGCCATTTTGTGCGCCGCCTCCTCGCTTCCCGCCCAATCTTTCAGTTCATAAAACTTTCTCAAAAAATCTATCTTTTCGACTTCCTTGCTAGTGAACTTCATCATCAAGTTTGAAACTAGGAGATGAAATGGCCACCAATTTTCGTTCACCAGTGAGATAACTTCCAAATCCAAAAAATCACAAGAAACAAACGTTTGCAGTAAATTTAATTGAAATTGAGATAAATTGTATTTGTCAAATGCTTCTAACATTGTCGACGTTATTTCACTTTTTGCCACTAAACTCAAAATTTTTCCATGCAAGTTATCAAGATATTCGAGAAAAGCTACATCCCTGGTCCCACCCTGGTAAATATAATTTAACCCTTGGAAACTTATTTTTCGAATAAATCCATCTTCCGAGTATAAATTGCACAATAGTTTATCTATCAAGGTCTTTGGTGGATTTGTCATGGTTTTACATAATTGCGAAAGGCAATCCAACACTGCAATTCTGTACTCACGTTCAACACTAGCGGAAAATAGATGGACCAGGTTATCGCAAAATTTGTGACATTTACTTATTATTTCTTCTACACTCTCAAACTTCCTGAAGAATGCACTAACACCATAAATTACGGGTATTGATACACCATCAGACTGATTTAAGAAAATATCATTCAGCAAGTTGAATGTTTCCAAGTCTGAATTTTGTAAGTCGAGATGTAACAAAATTTCCAACCACGTGCCACACTGCCCGGGAAATTTCGCAAATTTAACAATCTTTGGTATGCAGTCTCTCGGTGGTACAACCCCAGCCAATAAAGCGACCTTTATCCTTTCGAGAACGTCTCTTCTTGTAGTGGTATCCCTAATTTTCGAAATAGATTCAACCTCAATCCATAATTTTGTTGATGGAGAAAATCCCGACGAATTACCAAACTTTGCGTCAATTTCCTTAAGGATATTGCTTCCCCTACCGATATTGGTTTCCAAACTTTGCACAACAATTTCAGATATTGATGTGGAACTACGTATCCAATTCGATAGGATAACTTCCACCGCAAAAATAATACCCTTGTTATCAGCAGCAACTGAAACTAAGGTACCACATAACGCTACAATTATTTGGAATTTCCGTAACCGCTTCTCTATCAGTTACCAAAATGTCAAGAACTTTCAACAATTTTTGGTGTATGCCTTCATGCTCCACATGTTTTTGCAACCTATGCCAAAGCCTGGTTTCTTCGCCAATTAACGATTTTATAGCAACATCTCTATTTTCCTGCAGGAAAGATAACAATTTCTCAATGAAGATAAGATCATCTTCAACTTCACAAATGGTAGTTATGGAAACCCTGGCAAGTTGAGATTTCGAGAGGTCTAATTTTTTAAGCAGAGTCGCCATTACACCACGAACTTGGACAGAGGACGATTTACCGGATATACTAATAAGCAAATTGACATCATTATCTGTCAGTTTTGTGGAGGGATCTTTAACTAAGGTGGTTGCAACGAGAACAATAATTTTGTTAATCGTGTTCAGATTTTTACAGAATGGGAGCATTTTTAATAAAGTTTTAACCAACGTTTTCTTAATATTGCTACCCAAATCTATATTGTCATTGGAGAGTGTTTCAATTAAGCAATCACCAAGTTCCTGATTGAATTTTTTTCTCGATAACAACTCTATGCATTTTTGACAAAGAGTTTGCATGCAATTTGTCGGCAGATGGCGCGAATTTATGCCGTATTTAATCACATATCTTAACAAGGGGTCACATTCCTTTGTAATTTTCTTGCAATTAGTGATGAAACAATTTAAAATCCATTTGTTCATATCTTCATCTACAATCTGGTTATTTTCAACAAAGCTTAAACCAAGTTTAACGATAAGCTTAGAATTTCTGTCAGAGTATTTTCTAAAAGGCTTAAGGCTTTCGACAGCCTCTAAAGGAATACTTTGTCCTAATTCGGCCGCTATTGAGAAACATAACAAGGCATCTTCAAAGTGCTGTCCCTTTTCGCGAAGGCATTGCTGAAGTACGCTTTGTGTAAACTTAGGAAGCATGTAGCCTTCTTTGACGTACCCCTTAAGGTATCTCAAAGCACTTAAACCTACTTTTTCAGGTAACGATGAAAAATATTGATGTGTTATCCCCACGACATTGAATCCTTCGTCACTCAATTTTGTCTTTGTTAAAACTGAATTAACACATATTGATGCAAGATCCATTCTTAACGTGAAAAACGACATTGGATCTAATACTTGATTCCAACTAGCCTTAAGTAATAACCCCAAATCTCCTGAATGGCCGTATTTGATTAACCTCTTGGCAACCGTTTGAACAACCGAAGGTGGCACGGACACTCCTATTCTAATCAAGGAGGAAAAAATCCCGTCTGTTTTTTCCACTATAGCAGAAGTATTATTCAAATACCCTGTTAAAACTGTGATTACTTCAGGTGGAAAAAAGTTTCGTGAAAACTTTTCCCTTTTAGAAATGTATTACAATACGTGGATAAAATGTCAAGACATAGATCTACCTTGTCAAATGAATGTATGAGAATTTCACTAAGCAGACTAAACATCCCGGATGGAATAACCATGCCGACCTTTTTAACTTCGTTTAAAAAAATATTTAAAATCGCAACATTTAATTCGTCAGAGTAATCAATGCCGTCATGAAGTGTCGCGTCAAACTTGTAAATAGCTCCAACAGATAGTAATAATTCTTTAGGTGTGACAGAACTGGAAGCGCCTGAATATATTTGAAGACCTTTACAAACTGCGCGAGAAACTAAAACCTGCACATCTGCTACCTCATCTTCCACGAATTCCGTTAGCTTGCTGATATGAACCGGCCCAAACTGATGCCAGGTAAGATGAGCAAATTTCGCCGCAAAAATTCTACTTTGTGAATCTTGACTTTTTTCTAAAACTTCCATAAAGTGCAACATAACCCTCTCACAGAGAACGGTATCCCATGCTAGTGTTTTATTCCAATTAAACGAGTTCATTATTGTCTCACCAACACAAGCGGAAACATAAACCTTATCCATATCGTCATTACTTTCGTTTTCATCATTACATTTCCTTACTTCCGGCGGAGAAAGCAAAAGACTATCCTCCGATATTCGCGTGTCTAGAAGTAACCTGGGCAATAGTATTTCAACATGTGGAATTTCAACCATACGTGAAAATCGTTTTAGTGCCAAAATTATTAATCCTATTAACCTTTCGTCTTCCGCTAATTTACTACAGATCACTAAACACGACAAAATTTCCTTGTTAGGAATTTCTTTAGATTTTTCAAAACAAGATAGAATTATCCTAACAAGTGCAAAAACTAAGTCGCTCTGGTCATGCGAACTTTCACTAGCTAACATTCCTAACTTCATTAACTCTTGTTGTTTTAACGGTTTTGTATTTTCATGATCTAGATAATTCTCAATAATTTCGGCAACACCTGTCTGCACTACGGAATCGTCCGTTCTGTTGACTATTACGTTGACAAGGTCAACAATTACATCATGTGAAAATAGATCCATCACGAAACGAGGACTAATCGCTTGAAGGTTAACAAACCGAAGGGATCTTTCTTCCATTTCACCATTCTTTAAATAAGTCAATGTAACCTGAAACATCTTTCTTAAACTGTCGACATCGCTATTACCCAAAGCACTGCTAAATATGTCCATTATGATCCCCTTCATTTCTAACGTGCAAAAGCTGCAGTTTTGAAATTGTAAAAGTATTGATTTATGCCATATCTCAAAAGACGCGGCTGATCCTCTAGCCACACAATTTTCAACTGTCTGTAAAATCCATTTGCAAATCGCTAACACGTCAGAGCTACCAACCTGCTTTGTTCGAGACAGGAGGTGGTCAAGTAATCCATTGTAAATATTTAGGGGTATCAACTGTTTCCCACTAATTAGGAATAATGCCTCTGCCACCATTTTGTCTACGGTTATCCTAAACGCTAACGAAAACTGGGTGCCGATCAGACAATCATATAAATATTGGATGTCGCTTGACGCCATTGTTCTACCACCTTGTCTCGCCAATCCTAGCATATTAACGACTTGGTAATAAGTCGTTCGATACCAGGACTTGTCCGACTGCTGTTTAGGCGGTAAATTCAAAGGAACTTTTGACTGAATTAAGCCCCCTTGCAGCATTCGCTTCCTATCTTTTAACGCCGCTGATATCGAAATGTCAACTAAATCGATTTTTTCACTAAAAGTTTCTCTACATTTGGCGATAGATTTTTGCTGGGATTTTATGGCATGCGCCCTGTTCACTTTAGATGAATTGATGTGTCTCACACCACCCGGGCTTCCTATATTTGAAAGGTATTCAACATACTGCGACTGCGCAGTTGTGGAAGTTACTTCATTAAGTTGTTCTTTTTTAACTATACCAAATTTTTGCATTACTAGCATCCTAACATCTGCATTTACACCAAAAGATAACTTATCATAGTCTAACTTATCTACGGTAATATTAAGATTGCAAACGGCTCGGACTAGAATAGACTTAATAGTTGTGACTAGCTCGGAACTCTCAAAGGTTGCTAGGTTTCTAATTAGTTTGTCTACATCGTCCCATTCAATCAATTTACTGCCACAAGTCGAGCAATTTAGCAGGACCTGCGAAATTATTAGCTTAGTAACTAATGTCGCTTGTGGATTTTGAAACGCATCAACGAGTTGATTAATAACGTTCTGCGGACATCCGTGAAGTCTTGATATATTCCATAGTGATGGCAGAACAGAAATTAAGAGGGAGTGTGAAGGCTTCGTTTTCAATAGATTTTGTAGAATTGACCTGATTTCGCTGGTGGAATACGTGGGAAGTTCTAACATTCGGACCTGGTCGGTAAGTAGTTTCGCCATTGTGGAAGCTATGTACATAGAATTGACAAAAAAAATCTCAGGTAAAAAATTATCACATCGTAATTTAAACAAGGCGACGTGTAATTGACACATATATACACATATTGACACATCGTTATTGGTTACAAAATTCGGCATTGGTAACAAAAATCCGCATAGTTAGTAAAGCTCAGTGTATGTATATTTCAGAATGCCTGAAAATTATGCTAGGTTCCTAATTCTGCAAAACTACATTAAAATAGGAGGATGGATAGAGGCCATGACGAGCAAGCACAGAAGCAATTCTACAAAGAGCATTGTTTTATATAAGTTCCGTATTACAATCGTGGTTTAACTAAAAGCGAAATTCCAATTATTTTGCTAAATTCGCCAATTTCCCAAACCGGTGGGGGGAAATGTACCCCTTTGGTAAAAATATTTTTATGAATTATTTCTAAGGAAATTCGACTAACTTAAATGAATTTTCCATCAAAAACTGTATTCTCAAAATTTCCAAAAAATGTGCACAGTTTGGCCTGTATCTAAAAACCACTGAGCTGCACCCCCCCCAAATATTATTGCAGATTTTTAATCTACTCAAAATCATACGTCGAAATGGTT